AGAAATTTAAACGAGAGACAGATGGTGCCCAGAAACGCCGAGTGTTACACTGCATCCAGAGAGCCCTGATTCGGAGCCAGGAACTGGGCGATGAGAAGATTCAGATTGTGAGTCAGATGGTGGAGCTGGTGGAGAACCGGACCAGACAAGTGGATAGTCATGTGGAACTCTTTGAAACACATCAGGAAATCAATGACACCACTGGCAACAGTGGCAAAGCTGGCCAAGATAAGTCAAAGAATGAGACAATCACGCAGGCAGAAAAGCCGAATAACAAACGTTCCCGGAGGCAGCGCAACAATGAGAATCGAGAAAATGCATCTAATAATCATGACCATGATGACATCACCTCAGGAACACCCAAGGAGAAGAAAGCAAAGACCTCGAAGAAGAAAAAACGCTCTAAGGCCAAAGCAGAGAGGGAAGCATCCCCTGCAGACCTTCCCATCGACCCAAATGAGCCCACGTACTGTCTGTGCAATCAGGTCTCCTATGGAGAAATGATAGGTTGCGACAATGACGAGTGCCCCATCGAATGGTTCCACTTCTCATGCGTGGGACTCAATCATAAACCAAAGGGCAAGTGGTACTGTCCCAAGTGTCGGGGGGAAAATGAGAAAACAATGGACAAAGCATTGGAGAAGTCCAAAAAAGAGAGAGCCTATAACAGGTAGTTTGTGGACATTCACTAGTAGTGGGGAAAACAGAACCAGCTAGTGTATTTATTACATTGCCACCTGTGCTGAGGTGTGAGGATTGTCAAATGTGTTTTTTCAAGGAATGTTGGAGAAGGCACCGTTTCCTTCACAGGGATGGCAGTGACTCTCTCCACCTTTTGTTCTCACTGGTATATGTGTGTAAGAAGACAGTGGTCTATGGATCAGCATTTTAGGAACTACAAATATAGGTTTCAACTAAACACTTTAAAAAAAAAAGATCTTTAGGGGGCCAGCAGTGTGTTACTCAATGGTGGAGTATGAGCTACACACTGGAGTATGGCTAGCATGTACATGGCCCTGGGCTCAATCCCAGGAACCCCCCCCCCCAAAAAAAAAAAAACACAAATAAACCTTTTGATTATAATGGAATTATGGCAAATTTGTGAKGAGGAGGAGTTTACCCTGGCAATATTTTGTCCCACCAAGAAGTTAATGCTGAAAGGCCAACATCATTCTAAATGGGAAAAAATTGAAAGCATTACCCCTAAAAACTGGAACAAGCCAGGGATTTCCTCTTTCACCACTTCTATTCAACAGTCTTGGAAACTCCAGCTAGAGCAAGTAGACAGATGAAAGAAATTAAAGGGATATAATAGGAAAAGAAGAACTCATATTGTCTCTATTTACCGACAGCATGGTTCTGTATTTAGAAGACCCAGAAAACTTCTAGAACTCAAATGAATTCAGCAAAGTAGTAGGATATAAAATTAACATCTATAAATCATTTGTGTTCCTATGCATCAGTGATGACTGAAAGAGAAATTAGGAAAGCTGTCCTATTCACAGTAGCCTCAAAGAAAATAAAATATTTAGGAATCAATCTAACAAAAAGGTGAAAACTACAGAACACTAAAGAAATTGAAGAAGACCTTTGAAGATAAAGATTTCTAATGTTCTTGGACAGGCAGATTACTATTGTCAAAGGGCCATATTACCAAAAGCACTATACATATTTAATGCCATTCCTATTAAAATTCAAATGACATTCTTCATAGAAGTGGAAAAAGCAATCATGAAATTCATTGGGAAAAATAAGAGGCCTAGAATAGCCAAAGCAATCATTAGTGAGAAAAGTAAAACAAGAGGTATCATAATTCCAGACCTTAAATTATACTACAGAGTAACAAAAACAGCATGGTATTGGCATCAAATGGAACAGAATAGGAGATGCCGAGACAAACCCCCTACTTAGGCTAGACCAAGGTGCCATAAAGAGAGAAAAAAAGAGAAAAGAGCCTCCTTCAACAAATGGTGCTGGGAGAATTGGAAATCCAAATATAGCAAAATGAAATTTAATTCCTATCTCTCATCCTACACAATACTTAAAGTGGATCAAAGACCTAGGATTTAGACCTATGAGACCCTGTGACTACCAGAAGAAAATGTAGGCCCAACTTTCTACCATGTTGGCTTAGGAATTGACTTACTCAACAAACTCCTAAAGTTCAAGACCTAAAATAAATCAATAAATGGGATGATATCAAACTAAAAAACTTCTCCAGAGAAAAGGAAACTTTCAATCGAGAACATGAAGAGAACGCCTACAGAATGGGAGAAAAACGTTGCCACCCGCACTTCAGAGCATTAATCTCCAGGATATATAAAGAACTCAAAATCTTAACACTAATAAATAAATAAATAAACCAGTCCAATTAATAAAAGGGCAAAGGAACTGAACAAACACTTCTCAAAAGAAGAAATACAGTGGTCAACAAATATATGGGAAAAAATGGTCAACATCTGTAGCAATTAGAGAACCGCAAATTGAAACACCACTGAGATTCCATCTCCAGTCAGAATGGCAATTATCAGTCATATGAGTCACAATAAATGTTCATGGGGATGTGGGGAGAAAAGTACCTTATGCATTACTGGTGGGACTGCAAATTGGTGCAACCTTTCTGGAAAACAATGTGGAGATTTTTCAGAAAACCTGGAATGGAACCACCATTTGACCCCATTGTCACTCCTAGCTATATATCCAAAGAGTTAAAAATCAGCATGCTCAATAGCAGCTCAGTTCACAGTTGCTAAACTATAGAACCAACCTAGGTACCCTGCAGAAGTTGAATGGATAAAGAAAATGTGGTATATACACAATGGAATATTACTTAGCCAAAAAGAAGAATGACTTTATGACATTTGCTAGTAAATGGATCTAGAGACTATTATTTATGGTAAATGAAATAAGCCAATACCCATCCCACCCCCAAAAGTCAAATGGTCTCTGATATTTGAATATAAACCTACAACCAAGGGGGAATATAAGTTCCGTGGATTAGACAAAAGGGAATGAAGGGAAGGGAGAAGGGTTAGGAAAGACAATGGAATGAATCTAACATAACTTTCCTGTGAATACACCACAGTAAGTCTTAACATCTTGTACATCCATCCACAAGAGTGAGATCTTAATTAGAATTAATAAGATAAATCCCATGTTTATATAAATATGTCAGAATACACTACTGTCATGCATAACTAAAAAGAACAACTAATGAGTTAATGGTTATCTTGTGACTTAGTTCTTTAAAGACCTATAAAATCTAAAAGTAATTTTTGGTTTTCTTTTATATTCCATTTGCCCTCCACCTCACTTCAAATTTAAAATGTGCTATTTTGTAGTGATTGCCAGTTATTAGTTTTTAAAAATTTTTAGCTGTTTCTTCAAGGCAAAGATGTTGTTTTTAGCATTGAGAAGGAAGAAAAAAGCTCTTTGAAGAAATTTGTACATGGATTGTATATTTGGAAGCTTTATAGGATTAGAGGTTTTTCTTCTGATCTTTAATTATTCCAAGTACTTGGGACAGTGTCACATACTTAGCCTTTGATAAATAATCGGATTGTTTTAAGAATGCAAAATGTTGATTATTATATCCTTTAGAATCATATACAAAAATATCTTATATGGATCAGCAACATAAATATGAGAGTTAAAACCATAAAACTTTAGAAGAAAGCAGAGATAAATCTTCATGACCTTGGATTTGGCAATGGACTCTGTAATTCAGCACCAAATGTATGAATAACAACAACAAAAGTTGATGTCAAAACCAGCCTGTAGAATGGGAGAATATTCATTCACAAACATTCTGATAAAGGCTTAATATACAGAATATATAAAGAATGTCTAAAACAGTAACAAAAAAGAATGGAATTTTAAAATTGTCAAAAGATATAAAAATAGCCAGTAAGTAAATGATATTCAACATCTTTAGTTATTAGGAAAATGCAAATCAAAATCACAGTGAGTGTAGTTAAAGTTGAAAAAAACTAGAAAATGTTTTGTTGAGAATGTGGAAAAATGAGAATCTGTGAATTGTTGGTGTAAGTATAAAATGATATATACATCATAGGAATGGTTTCTCAAAAAGCTAAACCCAAAATTACCATGATCTTGATCTTTACCTAAAAACATTTTAAAAAGGAGTCAGATCTGTATACCAGTGTTTTTTGCAGCATTAATCACAATAGCCAAAATTAGAAACTAGTACCAATCATGTGATAATGCATAAATAAAATATGTATATATAAGATAAAATTCATTCAGTTATAAAAAGGAATGATATTTTGATATAGTATGGATTAAACTGGAAGACATTCTGTTAAATTAAAAAAAAACTAGGCACAAAAGATCAAATTCTGTGATTCAATTCAGAAAATATCTAGAATAGGCAAGTTAACAGGGATAAAAGTAGATTAAATGTTGCCAGGGGCTGGGGAGAAGAGTGAATAGGTAGTTATTACTTAATGGTTACAGAATTCCTACTGGGGTGATGAAGACATTTTGGAAGTAATTAGTGGTATTAGATGTAAAGGATTTTGAATGTAATTAATACCTGTTGAAAATGCTTTAAGCCAGATGCTGTAGGTTAATCTCAACGGCTTGGGAGGCTGAGGCAGGCAAATTTAAAGTTCAGAGTCAGCCTCAGTTACTTATGGAGGTCCTGAGTAATTTGGCAATATTCTGCCTAAAAATAAAAAATGGGCTAGGGATTTGGCTCAGAGGTTAAACACCCCTTGGTTTAATCCCTGGTAGGAAATAAAACAARAGGGTTAAAATGGCATATTTTAAAAACGTTTTAATCACAATCTCACAGTTTTCCAGTATGCTTTACAATCAAGAGATTTTGTTGGGCTTTTGGGCAAATTTGTTTAACATATTGTATTGCAATTCCTGATGAAATTGCAAAAAAATGTGATTAATTGAAAAGTTGAGGAAAGAAATTAGTCAAATTTCAGCAGAAACTTGCATGATTGATGGAATTCAAATTTTAATATTGTAATTTAAAACTGTAGCCCTTTGGACTTTTAAAAAGTAACTGAGAATACACCTATATTATTAGGATTTTAAAAAATTAAGTGTATTTAATATTTGCCAATAAATATACACAGAAATTTTGAAATTATGAGAAGTATATATATGTGTAATATGTGATCAATGTACTATATGTAATTTATAAGTCAGCACCCATGTATGGCCTGCTGAAGAGTTTTTGTTGATAAGTCCATATAATATTTAGAGACTGTTAATTTGGAGGATTTTGATCTCTTAAAAAACTKTTTTGTTGAGTAGTATATATTTGAAGTTGTATTTATTGTATATTTTAGGCTGCTGGTCTTGGTCGTATGAAACCAAACACACTTGTTCTTGGATTTAAGAAAGATTGGTTGCAAGCAGATATGAGGGATGTGGATATGTATATAAACTTATTTCAGTAAGTATTTTTTTATTTCAGTAATTTAGTTCAGAAAAATACTAATTTTGAAAATTTTGAATACTTTTTAAAAAATAATGTCTTCTAAAAGAGTGAAAGGAATCACACAAAGGGTCTGGGTTTTAAATTGGTGATCTATTAGTGAAATATTTCAATTTTATCTTTGCCTTTTTAACACACATGTATACATAAACATGTATGTACATGTGGGTATGGAAGCACACATACTCAAGAGTGAGTGTGTGTGTCATTCTGGCTTCCCACTTTTTATCCCTTCAGCTCTTACTGAGCAGAGTTCTCAAATGTTCTCAGTACAATCACCTTCTAAATTATGTCATTATAATGTCCTATGCTGAGGAAGGGAATTCTAGCATTATCTCAGCCTCATGGGTTTAGTTGTGTTCTCCTTTCAAACTAATTTTGCAGTTAGTCATTTGGTTCATCCATGATGTTATTTAAAACATTTTTTTATTAAACCTATTTACATGTTTCCTTTTTCTACCCCCTTGAAGCATTAAGTTCTGAGTTTACTATTCCTTTTTCAGTGATATTTTCAATGATCTTTATCATATAGCTTAGTTTTATTTTCCATCACTGTAACTTTCTTCTGATGAATTGTCTGATAGGGTTTTTTTGTTTGTTTAAATTCTTTTGTTTCTTTGTCTTTGTTTTTACTTGGGGTTCATGAGTTTTTGTGTATATACCTTTTTATGGAATCTGCTACCTATGATTATGGAACTAAGTCATTGCATCAAAAAACTTTGCCAAATTTACTTCTTAAATCTTGAAAAGTACTTCCTTCCTTTCTCTAGTACTCTAGGATTTGCTAAGCAAATCTATTTATCTTGTTCACCCTAAGGATAAGCATCCCCTCTATATGCCAGAGTTGAAGAATATAGTCTTTTTCATGTCATAGTTACGGATGACCTAGAGCTATCCTCTCCTTCTTGTTAAGTGTGTCTTTATATACAAACAGTTGTCCTTAAATTAAAAAAAATAAATAAAAACCCTTGTATTTAGCCAAGTAACTCCAGATCAAAGTCAAGTCCTGTTTTTTCTATGAATTTGATCTGATTATCCTTAATTCACTGGCATTATCTCCCTTACTGTAACTCCTGTTATTTCTATAGATACAACATGGTTATTTGCCTCTCTCACATAGAATATAGTTTTCTTTTTGTAGCTGCATTTAAAGAGTCTTTAAGGAAATATCCAGATTTCGCTCTATTTTTTTTAAATCTCTATACTGATTTTATGATGAACAAAATTTCTCAACTAATTGTTAAGTGTTTTTAGTTAAGATTAAAGCTCTGCTAATTTTGTTGTGCTGTGACTGCTGTTTGACTTGGGGTTTATTACTTTTTTAAAAAGTAAAATCTCATTCTAACTTCATAATTCTGTACTCTGTATTTAGGGGGACAGAGGAAAATACAGTGGAAACAAAGAATAAATTATGTAGGCCATAAATCTTAAATCCCATGAGTTATGGGCTGGGTTTTTTCTCTCAAGGCTCAATTAAAGATAAAAGTTAATCCCATTACCACTCATTTAGAAAAACTTAAGTTTTGAAATTTATCTTTTCAGAAAATGTAAGGGAAAACTTGAGCCAGAACAGAAGATTTATGGTCTTAACAAGTTTCTAGACTTTGTCTGCTTTTAGAATCACCTTCAAGGTTTTTAGTATGTGTAAAATCTTTGAACTACTTTTTAAACCAATTTTGTAAAAATTTTTGAAATTATTTTAAAATACCCTTCTTTCAGAAATTTCTTCATACTCTACAATCTGCTGTCATTCTCAGTAGACTATATTTTGTCTTCATATATTTCTCTTGACGTTAAGGGTATGAACCTGAATATAAGTAGAGGAAGATTACTGAAATTCCATAATTTTACTTTGTAGGATAAAAATACTATTACTGCTTTTAACAGCTACTTTAGGTAGAATTTCAGTATATGTGTCACAACGACAGGGATACATTCTGAAGAATGTATTGTTAGCTGATTTTGTTGTGTGGACACCATAGAATGTATGTACACAAACCCAGATAGCATAGCTTACTACACATTTAGACTACTTAACATATGTGGGTGTATATGTAGTTGTGTGGCACATGATAGTACTGTGGAAGAAGGGAAAGGGAAAGTATAGGATTCGAAAGCAACATTTATATCTTACCAACTAATTTTTTAAGCATATGAAAGAAAACATATATTTAAGGCTGAAATTGATTTTAGAGATATGTGATTATGTTCATTTTATGGAGAACGTAAATTGTTGTGATCTCCAAATTTTATAGTGATGCCTTTGACATACAGTACGGAGTAGTGGTTATCCGCCTAAAAGAAGGTTTGGATATATCTCATCTTCAAGGACAAGGTAAACATCATTTGAAATAAGTTTTTATTTAAAATATATAAATTACTTTGTTAGAAAATTGTATATGATTCTTACATTCTTCATTAACTTTCATGATTACCATCTATTTTGTCATAGACTGTTATATGGCATTTTAAGATCATATCTATTTGGAATCCACCAAAGTGTGTTTTTTCTTTGTGTCAGCTTGGATGATATTTAGTGATTATTAATGAAGAGATTAAATTTGATTCAAATAATGTTAAGAGAAGCAGATATTAGCTATAATTGTCTAGGACCAAAATTATAAAAGTACATAAGTAAAATAATAGTGTGTGAGAAAACTTTTAAATGATTACTAAATCATTGTTTTCATGCTTATAAAAGTAATCATAGTCACAGTAATAAAGATTAAATGTTGTCACAATTTTTTGTCTTCAGAAAAGACCCATTTTATAAAAAGAAACTTGTCATTTAAAAATATTTAAGATGCATAGAAAGTAGTGCATAGATGTCTTCTATATTCTTAATCTAACTCCATCCCCTTTAGTAACATCTTGCATATCTAGAGTACTATCTCAAACTAGGAAACAGTCTACAGATTTTATTCCAGTTTTACCAGTTTTACATTCACTTGGATGCATGTGTATGTATGTCATTCTGTTTTTTTTTWAATTTTTATTGTTGGTAGTTCAAAACATTACACAGTTCTTAATATATCATATTTCACAGTTTGATTCAAGTGGGTTATGAACTCCCATTTTTACCCGGTATACAGATTGCTGTATCACATCATTTACACTTCCATTGATTTACATATTGCCATTCTAGTGTCTGATGTATTCTGCTGTCTATCCTATTCTCTGTCATTCTGTTTTATTTATCACATTATTTGTACAACTACCACCATAGTTGGGATACAAACTATTCTGTCACTACAAAGATTCCCCTTCACGTTCCTTATTTACAGCTCTCACCACACTTCTTCCCTGACCCTCATTACTAGTAATTTGGTCATGTCTAAAATGCTCTCTATATAATACAATGTCACTTTCATAGCATTTTTAAAGTGAAGGTTAAAACCGAAGGTGTAATTGCTGCTTTTGTCAACTTTATTAAAACTATGGAAATGTCTATATCCTCAATTTTTCATAGTTTAAAGATATTATAAGCTTAAGATAACGTGTATATCCCCTTTGTAAATTAAGTAACTAAATCAGAATTAGTTAACTTTAAATAGTCAAGAGGCATATAATGAAATGTTGTCATCTGTTATATATTGAAATTAGAGATGTATTATTTATTTTAATCTTCCTCCCTTTTTTCCCTTTAAGAGTATTCTACAGTTTTGAAAGAAACACTTTGAAGTCTTTATCTTTGTAACAAAGTATATCTTATTCTATGGAAGGCCTGGCAAAGATAACTGCCTCAATTTTCTCTTATTCTAACAATGATTGAACTTGAGGATACCTGATTTACATCTGTTAACTTCGAAGAATTATCTGTAGTGTTGTTCCATTTCACTGAGAAATATCACAATTTGGCTAATAATTAGCTCGCATAGTTCTATAATTTGCTGAGGTTTGAATGTTATAGAAACTTTTTTTCAAAGTATTTGTTCATGGATTTATACTTTTTACATTTTTTTGAGAATTTATAGGAATATGATTTGGTGTAGGAATTAAGAGCACAGGTGTTGGAACCAAATAGATTTCTTAATTCCAGCCTTTTCCCATAATTGACTTCCAGGACTCTGTTTCCTTGTCTGTTAGAGCAGAGTTATCCCATAGGGCTGTCATAAAGATTAAAGAATAGATAAGGCCTATAAGTTCCTGTCATAATGCTGGTCAGTGGACTCCATAGTTCTGTTACTTTTCTTCATTTATAAAAATAAGTTATGATGATTATGGGCAGATTATCAATCTCATATTTGTCTGAATGATAAATGTATTATAGGAATTAAATATTCACTAACTCCTTGCCAAAAAAAGAAAAAAAAAACTATTTAAGGGGCTGGGGTTGCGGCTCAGCAGTAGAGCGCTCACCCAGCATGTGAGGTTCAATCCTCAGCACCACATACAAGTAAATAAATAAAGTCATTTAAAAAAAAAAAAAAAAAGATTTAAAAGTGAAGAATTGGTACTTTCACCATGAGCTTGTTAGGAAAAAATTCTGTGGTCTGAGCTTCATAGTTTGGATATAATTTTTTCAGTGTTCTCTGCTTACTTGCATATAAATGTTGGTTACATTTTACATTTTTATATTTGTAACATTGGAACTAGGGTTTGTTTCATATACTATATATCATTGTTTTTTTCCATGTAGGTTGTACTATTAAGTGAATTTCACTCATTACTTGTTGTCTAGTACCTAATTCAGATATCTTAGCCATGTGGTTGTGGCTTCTATATTTAAGTGAATATTCAAAATATATTTAACTAAATAATCAAACAGACTCTCACATAAAACATCACATTTACATAAGGAATCATTTATAATTAATTTTCTATTCCATAATTAACCTTGCTGTAAAATATCATTTAATTATTAAACCCTGATGCCTTCTTGAACTGTTAAAATATGATTTTAGATACTATTTTAAATGCTTTCATGTTTACAGAAGAATTATTGTCATCCCAAGAGAAATCTCCTGGCACCAAGGATGTGGTACTAAATGTGGAGTACAGTAAAAAATCGGATTTAGATACTTCCAAAACATCTGGTGAAAAATCTGTTACACATAAAGGTAATTTGCAATCGAACAAGAAAATTTATTAATGTTAATGTTTCAACGTGGGGAGGAAATGATTTTTGTTATATATATTTTAAAATAGCCTATTCTCAAACTTGTCACCATTCATTTATAGTTAGATAAAATTTATGACTTTGAAAATGGCTACAGAATGACAAGCTGTTTTAAAGTATTAAAGAGGATCATAGAACAAAAACTATGCCAATGAACATGGTCTTGTATGTTTTTATTTATATTTGCTTTAAATAAAACATTTTAATTTAAAGCATAGTTTAAATCTGAACTTTGAAGGAACATGGTAATTTTATAATAACAGAAGACTTTCAGAAAATTTCATTCACAAATCTGTATGTCACATTTATGAGAAGGGACAAGGGATGACTTCCAAATCTTACTCTCCCACCCTCATTCTCCTACCTCTCTTCAGACTAGTATCTCCATCTGTCCTGTTTATTCCCAGCTAATATGCTACAAGAAAAAAAAAATGCACTGTAAACCATCTAACCACAGCATACTTTTGATTTCTATATCTATAAAATGGTCACCTTTTGTGAAATTTGAAACATTAGAAACAAACTATGTGTCTATGCAGTTTATTTCTTCTAGGTTACCTTAGAAGTATTAGTGTTGCTTTTTAATCCCTTCTTATGTACCTTGTTTGTTTAGAGGAACAGCAGTTGAAAGTGCAGTCAAAACCTATTTTCCCTTTCAGTTCTTTGCTGGCTTGATTATAATTGTTTTCTTTTTTGCCTCAAAACTCCATAAATTGATTCTGATAACTATTCTTCTGCTCCTACATTTATTTTAATTTATGGTATACATTCTTTAATTTCCTCCTAATTTTATTTTTGTTGTTGTTGTTAATTTCTCTTGCATAAAATAGATCCTTTCTCTACAGTTTATTAGGAATTAATGTATGAGTTGTTGGAAGGGGAAAACCTTATTTTATCAAGCAGCTACTCTGTGCTCCCACATTTTAATCTGCTATTCATGCATTAATTTCTTAATGATTTTATAAGACTGTAACTCACATTATATTTGTAGACTAGGAAACTGGGTCAGAACATCTCTAACCATCTTTCTGTTGTTAAAACCTACATGCCTTTAAATTAGTTTAAATCATTTTTAAATATCGATAATGTACTTGACATTTCTGAGCTATTATAAGTGAATACAGAATGTCCATAGTTAGTTTTTTTTAATTATTAAAGGTAGATATATTAAATATATACTTTATGAGAACAGTAATATTTAGTACCATAAAATTAAATATAATAGTTGGTTTTTTCTATAACATGCATAAAAATACAATATTAGCTTTATTTTGTGTTTGCTTTCTATTTGGTGAAGTCTCAGCATCAGCAAACTACTAAGAAGTTTATGTATAAAAAGTCTTAAGAATTGGAAACATTCTGGTATAATTATTGTGTAGTGACAGCATTTGGTGATGTCTGTTTTGATTATTGAGGCATACAGTGTGCAAGGAGACAAAAAGAATACTCTTTTAAAGCTTACTTTGTATCAAACCCTGAGCTCATTGCATCAGTACTTGCAATGTAACAACTTAAGAGGTAGGTGCTGCTAACTCTTTCTACAAATGATGAAAGCAAAGAGTTATGTAATCAGCTCAAACTCATACAGCTAGGAAAGGAGTAGAGGTAATACTGGAATCCTGGAAGTCTAACTCAAGAGCCCAGTGCACTATACTCTTATCTGCCCAAGTCCAAAATTTTATGTGCCTTAAACAAGCAAATAATACAAGCTTACATTTAGAAGAAACGTGGGGTTAGCAAAACTAACCCCAGGGTGGGGGAAATCTGGTGAATACTTAAATATAAATGGATGAATACATGCACATGTACATGCATTTATATGTACATTTATTTGAAGAAAGCCATTCTTATATAACTTAGCATTTATATAAAGCAAAGACCCCTGCCACTGCTCAAATTTCTTAATATTTCAAATAGTGATTAACTTTTACATATACGAAATATCAGATATTTCTAAAATTGCTTTTTAGTCATTTGCACAGTTGTGCAGTGACATATTTAAAATGTATTATCTGCAAACCAATTTGGTAATATCTTATTTCTACTCTACAAGCTATAGTTTTATACCTTCTCAACTGATTGCAAACGTAAAAGCTTAAAAATTCTGCTGAAGGTTTTTTGGATAAACTTGCAGGAATAAAATTTCAGGGTGAGTGTTAATCATTTGCCCTGTAGGGTCCAAGATACGTTGGCATATTAAAAACCTGAACACTAGTGTAGAAAATACTAATCTTCAGTCTTGATCATTTTTCATGGACTGTTGCTTCATACTGTTTTGTTTAAAATGTGCTCTATTTATATTTTATTGATATAAAAGCAATTAACTTAATATTTTGTGTTTTTTAAACATAATCTAGATGAGGAAGAGGATGGCAAGACTCCAACTCAACCACTGTTGAAAAAAGGCAGGCATTTTTCATCATTTTATTTTAATCCCTTTTTTTCATACTGTTAACTCTTTAACTCCAACCTTATTATTTTCTGTTTTTTTTTTTAACATTATCTTTTATTTCCATAGTGAGGTGATGTTACAGATATCTATTAAACACAGATTAGAAGTTATGATTGGTCCAACTAAAGAGTTAAATCTTTTTGGGACAAGGTGAAATATTACAGATAAGTTTTTATCATTATAAGAATTTAAATAATTTCAGCATTTCTAAAATACTGAAACCTAAAAAGTCAGTATTTTTTTTCTTTAAACTGCATGGTTTAGATGATATGTAGGGACACTGAAATGGTATCGCTTGCATTCTTTACCATCAGTTGTACCCAACCAGGTCCTAAATTTTGATACTAATATATTTTTCATTTTAAAAATTACAATATTTCTCACAGTCGTGCTGCGTTTGGGAGATACAGTCATATCAACATACATGAATTTTATGAGGAGGAGATAGAGGTGAGAGTTATGGAGCAGTGTGGTTTGGTAGCCATATTTCATCATGCAGAATCATTTGTCATGTTTGCATACATCATGGCAGCATGAAAAGTGAGTGACAGACATTTTTCAGAAGTGATCAGATTTCCTCTTCTGGATTTCTGCTTTTAAAAATTTAGTATAGGAGTTTCATAATAGTCATCTGCTTGTTCACTGAGCCAATACTGATTTATTATTTTTTTTTAATTCCTGGAAAGAAAATGGGAACTATTTTGGTTTCTTGTCCTATAAACCTATTGCAGATGGGTGCCCTTCCAAGGAATTCCTACCCCTTTGTGTGGTACAGAGAAAGATATGATGTTCCTTAGAACTGGGCTTCATATATTAAAGAGGACAAAAGATTAAAGATCAGGGATTTTCCTAAGACTAAGGTTTCATTCTGATAATTGTAAGATTGTATTGGTATGTCTTCAACTCCCTCTGTCATTTATGTTACAGATAATTTCTATTTTTTTAAAAAATTTGACCTTAAATTACTCAGTTACCTGATTACAGAAGAAATATTTTCACAGAACAGGTATAAACTTGATTTGTCCAGTTAGCCTGAAATAGTTTTCCAGAAAACACACACAAAAAAAAATCTATCACTCAAGTATATTTTGATTGATACTTATGATTCTCTTACATTCATCAGAATGCTTCAAAATATTAGAAATTAGACAAGCAAAGTTGGATGAGTTATTTTTAAAAGAAAGTACTTATTCGTAGCCATTTTTAATTATATTTAAATTATAAATAACTGATATAAATACCATATATATTCCCTATCTGCATTATTTGATTATAAAAAAGGAAATTATAGGAATTCACCTAAAGAAACTTTATTTACTTTCCTTACACTTTTTTTTTTTTTACCGTTAATCCTTTAGAATCCAAAGGCCCTATTGCACCTTTAAATGTGGCTGACCAAAAGCTGCTTGAAGCTAGTACACAATTTCAGAAAAAACAAGGAAAGAATACTATTGATGTCTGGTGGCTTTTCGATGATGGAGGTAAGATCATTAATATATTTTTTAAACGTTTAAAATTTACTGAAGATAGAAGATAGTACCAAGAAATGGCATGTACTTTTCACCCACTCAAGTTTTGCCAACATTCTCACACAACAAAAGGATTAATTTCAGAATCAGGCTTAGTTGTCTTGTCTCTTCATTATAGAAGTGCTCAGTACCTCCTTGAGCCTCATGACCTTAACATTTATTTTAATATTAGGCCATTTTGTATAATGCCATTCAGTTTAGAATGCTATTTGATATTTCCTCAAAATTAGTATGAAGTTATATGTTGGCAGAAATATCACAGATTTGATACTCTGTTCTTCTGGCTCCATTGTTCTTCTGACTACATCTCATATGATACTGATTTATCCCATCACTGGTGCAATGAACTTTGACCATTGAGTAAAGTGTTTCCCACCAGGTTTATCCACTGGAAAATTGCCCCCTGCTTTATAATGGCAGATATTAGAGGGTTACTCTGAGACTGTGTCGCCTTTACCAGTATTTTTAGCTATCACGTATTTTTCTCATTTTTTTTTTGTTATTTTTGTTGTGATTGCCAAATGACGATTTTCCAATTACATATTTCTTCCTTGTTTATTAGTTGGCATTTTACTTGAAGGATGAGCTTTTTTAATTTCTATCAATGTGGGTTAATTGATTTCTTATTTTATTAAACGGGATAAAATTTATTATTTTCATATTTAGCCAGCAGGAGCTCTCTTAGACTAATTTCTGTGCCATTTGTTCTGCCCCAGCATTCATGGAGTCACTTTCTGATATAAGATGATGTTCCAGGTTCAATTTTATAGTTTTGTACATTCCCTATACTAGCCACAGATGGGACCTCCAAGGATCTCTGGTTTCTTGGAGTGGAAAATAGTATTTAGAAAAAATAAGGGCATTAGATACCTGTGGCTGTGAGGGTGTCACTGCTCCCAGGCCCTCTCAGTGGCAAGAGCTGGAAGTATATAGGTTTTTTTTAAAATTTATTTGTGTATGTATAAGTAGAGATTGAAAACCAACTCCAATCCAGCATATCCTTTATTTCTCATTTCTGTATGAATCCTGGGTCCCATTAGGGTTAATGAATATATTCATTCCTCGGTCCTTCTGAATGTGACCATTTTTCTGACTGCCAAGCTACTGTCCCATTGGATTGCCTTACTCAAAGAGCTATGAGTGCTGGGCCTCCTTTCTTGCTGAGACCTCCCTAATGGCTTTTTGATTGAATTATCAAAGAAGGACAGAGGAAGTATTTTGTTTTACATTGAGTGGTAGTAAATACAACTCAAAAGAGAATAAAAATCCCTTTAGAAAATAAGTTGTATTAACAAGTTTTTGAGAAATTAGCATTTAGTAAGTGATGTTATTTTTTATAATTCAGGTTTGACCTTATTGATACCTTATCTTCTGACAACCAAGAAAAAGTGGAAAGACTGTAAGATCAGAGTATTCATTGGTGGAAAAATAAACAGAATAGACCATGACCGGAGAGCGTAAGTTTATTTTAAATTAAAAGAAATTATTCTAATAGTACCTCATTACCACAATTGATAAGGTTAGAGTTGATAGGATAAAAAATTAGACATTCCAGAACATATCCATAATATTGCTGTTMTACTGAAGCTAAAAATCTAGTAGTTTTCGGCGGACACAACATCTTTGGTTTTTTGTATGTRGTGCTGAAGATCGAACCCGGGCCGGGCCGCACGCATGCCAGGCCAGCACGCTACCCCTTGAGCCACATCCCCAGTCCCTAAAAATCTAGTATTTAAAATTTCATTCTCTTTAATTTGACCTTCATATTTAAGTTATAAACGCTTAATTTTACTTAGATGTGGTATTTTTTAAACAAATTAGCATTTTAGAAGGTCTTTATTAAATAGTTGCAACATTAAGGTGTTAAATAGCTTATTTTTTCTTTTAATCAGGGTTACAAGTACACAAAATTTACTTATTCCTATATGGGATATATTTTGTAGACTTCTAGACAATAAATGCAGACTGCCAGTATCACTCATTTGCTTCTGTCTGCACTGCCATAGTTCTGGTTCTGGTTTCACTGCTTCTCTCCTGCACTCTAGTACCTTTGTGTTAACCTTTCTCCTATATTTAGCACACATAGCATCCAGGTTTATGTAGAAAGCAAAATTTTGACCATCTGATTCCTCTACCCAATATATTTTAACAATTTTTCCATAAACTAACATAGTATATATAATTATCTTAACATGGTATTCAAGGCCCTTGAGATCTGCCCATTGTTTCTTTTTTGTCCTTACCTCCCATTCCTCCATATAGGCCCTGTACTTTGATGTACACTTGCACATTTGCCAGACATATTTGTGATTTTAAGCTTTTACTGCTTTGCTTACCGTCACTTCTCTACTATAAATAGCTCTTCACTTGTTTCCACTACCTTTCTCTGTTTACTACTCCATTCTTCAAAACCCAGTTCAGTTCTTCAGAATGTAGGAACTTATTATGCTTTCTTCCTGAATCACTGTACACTTGATACTGCTTATCACTTTCCAGCTTATATTTATTTTCTTAAATTTGAGTTTTGTGGATCCTATAATATTTAGCACATAGTATAATAGTAGGCACTTAGGAAATACCAAAATCCAGTGAGGTATTTCTTTATTTCAAACGGTGAATTATGCAAGAAATGCTGTTAATGAATTTATTACTTAAACTTGTAGCTCATCAGTTTTCTAATATCTCAACCTAATTTTTAAAACTGTTATTTTATTAGACATAAGATCTTGTTAAACTGTTCACTACTTTTTACTTAAATCTATATACTGATATAATTAAACTAAAATTAACCATTTAAAAAATAGTTGCCATTCAGATTTCATTATTAATGTTTTTCTCTGTCCACCTAATATTTAGGTCCTAAAAAGAGAATAAGAGAAAGTTTTTTAAAAAATAACAACAGTAGGCTCTACTCAGGCAATTTAGATATCTTTTTTGGGGGGTGAATAATATGAATTAATTCAGATTTGGGGAGTGATACTAGAGAGTGAACCCAAGGGTGCTTAACCACTGAGCCACATCCCTGCTGTTTTTATTTTTTGAGACAAGATCTCGCTTAGTTGCTGAGGCTGCTCTCAAACTAGCGATCATCTTGCCTCAGCCTTCCAAGCCATTGGGATTATTAGGTGTGTGCTATTGCACCCAGCTAGATGAGTTTTTGTTGTTGTGTTGTTGTCGTTGTTGTTGTTGTTGTTTTTTTTAAAAAAAAAAACCCACCGGAAAAACTTCTATAAGTCATACTGTTCAAATATAAATTCAGCCCTATGTAGACTAAAAGTACATATACATCCTTAACATATCTGAATGCTATTCATTTTTGTTCTAGGATGGCTACTTTGCTCAGCAAGTTCCGAATAGACTTCTCCGATATCATGGTCCTAGGTGATATCAATACCAAACCAAAGAAAGAAAAGTAAGTTATTGGATAAATTAATCTGTACAAACATCCAGTCTTTTTATGTATCAACTACACAAATAATTCAACTTGAATTATTTATGTAGTTGATATATTTGAGTATTTTTCCCTGCTGTTAGTTATATGTAAAGCAAACTGGTAGTTGGCATGCCAAGAGTAGATGTTGAAGTAACATCTTAGAATTTTCAGTTTTCAGAGAGGATTTCAATTACTGCTTTATATGCTTTCTGAAAATTGTTAGTGCCGTAGAAAGTCCAGGTGGTTCTTTAAATTTCCATTTTTCCTGCCCACATTTAACAATTTTGTGCCCACTCTTCATACCTATTAGTTTTCACTGTTTAGTATTTTTGCTAAATAGGAGAATCTAACGATTTGCTTATAATAGTTGATTCAAAATTCTAGCACAGAAAATTTCTATTCTTGGGATATTCTGCCTAGAAATGATAGAGAGGTTGTTATAAAGATTGTGTTTATTTCACCAGATTATTCTTAGATAAATGTTGAATAAATGATGAAGCTGGTATAAAGATTTCATTTTAAATAGGTTTTAATGAGGGAGAGATTGCTTCCTCTTACAGAATAATATACACCAGATTTGATACTGAAAAGTATTTTTTATATTCATGAGTTATTAAAATGTCATTCATAGTCTTTCACTGTCTTTTGCCGTACTAAGTATCATTGGATCTAGAAATTCTTAAATTTTTACTATCTACCCTTTCCTCCCTTCAGAATGTTCTACTATGTTTTCTAACACTACTTGTATTCATTGGTACTTGGGAAAGCCTTGGTGTTTTGAGCAGAGTAGTAAAACAATTTGTCTTCTAAGTCAAAACAATCATTTCAGCTACTGTGGTAGAATTTTAGGTTGCAGCACGGGCACAGGGACAAAAGATTAGCTTTAGCTGCMGTTTTATTATTGTCAGTGTAGTTTTAGAGACAAAAACTATTTTCTAAATAAATTATCTATCAATATAGTTGGGGTATGGAGGGAAGCATAAAAATAAACACCAACTTCACAAGTTATAATTTACTGTTTAAGATTTTTCTGTAATTTAAAATTCTTTTCTCTTAAGCATTGTAGCTTTTGATGAAATGATTGAGCCATACAGACTTCATGAGGATGATAAAGAACAAGATATTGCAGATAAAATGAAAGAAGATGAACCATGGCGAATAACAGACAATGAGCTTGAGCTTTATAAGACCAAGGTATTCTTTCTCTTCTGTTTTCCTTCATTAATTTTGCATGTGATTTAAAAAAATGCTTAAAACATAAATATAAAGGCCTACATTTTGATATGAGATAAACCAGTTGTGTAAATTAAATCTARGTGGATTTATGTGTGAATAGTGGGAGGCATCAATTTTGTTTCTAAACAGGGAAAAGATATTTTTATCACTCCATGGTTCACTTTGGTTTGTTTTTGTTTTCTTATTACTTTATAAACTATGCTAGATTGTCCTGTTTCATTTCAGACATAYCGGCAGATCAGGTTAAATGAACTATTAAAGGAACATTCAAGCACAGCTAACATTATTGTCATGTAAGTAGTATTTGTATTAAGATTTCCTTAGCTGTACATTTTATGATAATGTATTTGATTAATTTCTATTAAAAGCACTTTTAGTGCTCTGTAAAGACATACTAGTTATACAAAGGAAAAACAAACTTTTAAATATTCTTTGTTTTAATTGAGAAATCATTTAAATTCAGAGAAAAGACAAAAACCTTATTTCAGTTTATGTAAATCTTAAGTAATTCTTTATCATAATAAGCTAGTCTGGATTTTTTTTKGGGGGGGGCAGGGGATACCAGGAATTGAACTCGGGGGCACTCAACCACTGAGCCATATCCCCACCTCTGTTTTTATATTTTATATAGAGACAGGGTCTCACTGAGTTACTTAGCTCCTCACCATTGCTGAGGCTGGCTTTAAATTTATGATCCCCCTGTGTCAGCCTCTGAGTCACTGGGATTACACCTGTGTGCCACCATGAAGAACTAGAATTTTTTCTTTCAAAATTCTTTAGTTTTGAAAACACTATAGCCTAGCCATTACACATGTTGGGATAGAATGGCCCCACACTAAAATTTGAACCTAGACAGCTTCCTTGTGAAAATAACTTCATACTGTTTTAAGGATTAAATTGGAATAGTGGTTCCTGTCCAAACCCACAAATCTCACACACAAACTTTACATATGGACACATTGTTTTGCATTGAATAGAGCTGCTAATGCTTACTTTGATTTCTCTGCTGCAATAGGTTAGTGAGATATCACAATGAACCCGAATTTTCTTAGTCTTAGAACCTGGGAGGGTAGACATAAGGAAAAATCATGCCAAATGAAATGAAGTAGTACCAAAGGAATGTTAGTTTGATTAATAAGTAACACTTATTATTCCATTAAGTTTGGGTTTTGATGATGATGATCAAATACTATACTGGAGGATGCTAAAACAGAAATTTAGAGAAAAACAAGTCAACTGGTCATTACTATATAGTCTATAAATAGAAATTAAAACTCGTGTTAAAAATATGTAGCATTAATGATGTTTAAATTTTATTTATAAGTAACTTCCATTTTCTAAATTCTGATAGAAACATCTATTTCTCCTAAAATAATGTTATCCTTATTTTAAAAAAGGGGTAAATTTGAGATTCAGAGTCAGTTTATATGTAATAGTAGTAGTAGTAGTAGTAGTAGTAGTAGTATCAGTAGTAGTAATAGTAGTAGTTTCTGCAAATCATTATTCCCTATCCTTATGAATAGATATTTTAAAATCTTTTGTTGAAACCTGAAAACATGAGAATAGTGACATGAAAACATTGTAGTTGATATTCCCTGTACAGAATTTCCCTGTACTCAGAATTATTCTGTAATTGTAGTAATTTCTACAATTTGGTACTGGGAATTGAATCCAGAGGGACTTAATCCCTAAGCCACACCTCTCAGCCCTTTTTAGTTTTTATTTTGAGACAGGTTCTTCCTAAGTTGCTTAGGGACTCCCTAAATTGCTAAGACTGGCCTCGAACTTGCCATCTTTTTGCCTAGTCTTCATTGTCACTGAGATTACAGGTGTGCACCATCATACCCAGCTCTAGTTACTGTAGTATTGTTAATTTATAACATTTGTTACATTTTCTCCTCAATTTAAAAGCATCACTCAACATCCTCTTTCTTTTTGATCCCAGGAGTCTCCCAGTTGCTCGTAAAGGTGCTGTGTCTAGCGCCCTCTACATGGCATGGTTAGAAGCTCTGTCAAAGGACCTCCCACCAATCCTCCTAGTTCGTGGGAATCATCAGAGTGTCCTTACCTTCTATTCTTAAGTGTTCTACACAATGGACTGCTCCCAGAATGGTACTTCAGTGCCTAGTGAAGTGACTGAAATCTTCAATGACACATTAACATCACAATGGCAAACTGTGACTTTTCTTTCACTATTTCATTAATTTGAAAGCACACAGGAAAGTTGCTCCAGTGATAAGTGTATGGAGACTTCAGTTGTAGTCAATTCTGTATCTCAATCTTAATGATGATTCTTGTTGGACTGAAGTTCATATGAAAGTAAAGTTTTCCCTTGCTACTTGAATAGCAATAAAAGTGTGTTATTTTTTGATTGATGAAAGGAGTTACAAAAAGCCTTTAGCCTTGAGGTGCCTTCTGAAATTAACCAAATTTCATCCATATATATCCTCTTTTATAAATTTATAGAATGTCAAACTTTGCCTTTGGATATTATTTTATTTCTAGTCTCACAGTAAAACAAAATGGACACTGCTTTTCATCTTCCATTGACCAATTAATGTTGAGTACTGTATGTTTTCTATTACTTTTGTAAAAGTATCTGTTAGATATTAAATGTGAGAATTAGGGCAGGCTAATGAAAAATGGGAAAAAAGTGGGGTCAATAACCAAAAAGTAAACCTCAGTGTTAGATTTATGAGAATATATATAAATGTAGAGCTAGGGGAAAAGGCTCAAAATACCTTCTTTAATTCCCAATTGACTGTTTTGTGTTTTTTTTTAACCTTAAAAGGTTGAAGATTTACCCAGTACTTCTATATACCATGATGAAAATTCACATGTTATTCTTTAAATAAAAATCCTCAAGATCATTTGTATTTAAGAGAGATCTGTCCTAATTTAAAATTTCTCTCAAATTTGAGGGACTTTTAAGAAATGCTTACAGATTTTTCTGGAGGAAATTTAGACAAAACAATGTCATTTAATAGAATATTTCAATAAACACTATGGAATTTTACTATACTGTATCATCCTTTATAAATCCATTAAAATAATGTTTCACCAAATGGTTAAATGGACCACTGGTTTATTAGTGAAATGTTTTTAGGCTTAATTCATTTGATTGTCAAGTACACTTAGTCTTAATACACTCAGGTTTGAACAGATTATTCTGAACATTAAAATTTAATCCATTCTTAATACTTTAAAACTTTTGTGTTAAGAAAAACTGCCAGTTTGTGCGTTTGAAATGTCTCTTGACATCATAGTCTACTAGTACAATTTGACAGTGCATATGTACTGTTACTAAAAGCTTTATAAATAGTTATTAATGTGAAGGTTTTTTATTTTTGTTTTTGTTTTTTTATTCAAGGAAGGATTTCCTAAAAACATTTCAAGGGATTTATGTCTACATATCTGTATGTGTGTGTGTATATGTATATGCATACACAGATACATATGTGTATATGTAATGAAATTTGTATTGCTGGTGTTTTGCATTTTAAAGTGATCAAGATTCATTGTATTAAACTTTTTTGGTTTTAGTAAACATGTTCAAAATCAAATTGACAGATTACAGGTTTCATAGAGAACAAAGCTGATCATTTGAAGGGCATAGTGTAACTTCACACAACTATCATCCAGTTAGAAAATGGTGAACATTTCATCTAAAGTACTTTTCAGTGGGTTCATTGTTGAGTTTCAGTGGTGGGGAATTTATGCAGGTTCTTGTGAATCTTGTTAGAAATCTATAAAATTATTTTCAGTGCTGCAGTATTTTTGCTGCATGAGTATGAACTGAATTAATAAAAATTGGAACTCTGATAATTTAAATTCAGAATATTAAGAAAARGAGGTAATCAATTTTCTAAAAATTATTTCCTACATTATAACTCCCAGCATTGTTTAATTTATTGCAGGTTTTGCAGTGTTGGGGGGAAACAGTAGAAATGTCACTTTGTTCAGTAAATAATATCATGTGTGAACTTTTTAAGTGGATAATAGGGCATGGCCTGAGTGCTGCTAATTTGAAATATGCACAGGTACACTTATTTTGTTTTGTTTTGTTTTGTTTTTGTTTTTCCCATTCAGGAAAACAACATTGTGCTCTGTACTACAGGAACCAAATGTCATGCATCATACATGTGTGTATAAAGTACATAAAATATATCTAAATATGCATAATGTGGGGAGGGTAATATTGTCTGTGAAATAATGTAAGAAGCTTTTCACTTAAAAAAAAAAAATCATTACTTTTACTTAACACTAGACACCAGGTCAAAAACTTTCAAAAATTATTGTAGTGCTCAAAAATTTTTTWGCAATTCTTGAGATGCTCACTAGTGTTGACACTGTTTTACTTTATTCATGCTGATTTTGATTATTTGAATGCCAAAATTTTTTTTTAGTCTAATCATTGGTGATAATTACACAGGGGCATTGGAATTAATTATTCCCATAGGTAAGAATGCAATGGGTTTAGAGAGAATGTTGGTGTTAAGCTGATTTATTAACAGTTAATTAAAATCAAATATTTATTTGTTACATTGTTTCCTTTGTATTTTAGATTTCCTTTTACATCCTTTTTATATTGCTTTCTGACATTACATGTTTTTTAAGACTATGGAAATAAATAATTTAAAGATTTGATCTCTGGTGGATGATTATCTACTAAGTTTAAAAATGTAATATTTTGATAACACTGTACTATAACTGTCACACAAATGCTTTTCTAATGTTTTAACCTTGAGTATTGCAGTGCTGCTTTGTAAAGAGGTTACTGCAATAAAGGAAGTGGATTCATTAAAACTATTTAAAGTCTACTCTTGTATTTTTACCAGTTTTATAAATCTCTGCCAGCTTTGATTTCATCTTATTTCATTAATATCTGAATTTTTTTAAATGATTTTTACCTTATTATTCATGCCTTGGAAAAGTTTTTTGTGTTCATTCTCTCTCCTTATACCTGTGGAATAATCAGTATTGATACTGTGACTGAATTGTTTTCAGTACAGTAATATTATGATTTTTTTAAAAAAATGACTTAGCTTTTCTAATTCTGCTTTGGGGCCAAATCCCTCATTTATGAATGAGGAACGAAAAGATTAAAAGGGATTCAGAGCCCTTGAATTTAATCTCATTCTTTTTTTCCTAAGATTTCTTTGCTAAGCTGATTTTCCCTTTTTCATTTGAACCCTTCAATAATTATGTTACATATGCAGAATAGTTATTCATCTTTTACTCTGGAGAAAGCAGGTTGGAGAAATTTAGGAAGTTTCCCTAGGCCATGGTAAATCAGCAAAGGATATTTGCCTAGAACCCAGACCTAATTTCCAGGGCTTTTCCAGTATGCTTTCACTGCTGCCTGATCTATGTTAGATGATTGGGTAATCTATCCCAATCTGCCCAGCAAGTCGGTGCTCAAGTAGTGCAAATAACAGCACATATAGATGGGTTACAGACTGCCCTAAGAGATGTGAAACCAAACGTAAAGTCCACTGTATGATCTTTGTTCTTAATAAATAAGCTTCTATTCAGGCCAGTTTACTCCCTTTTATGGGAACCTGAAAGAATTCAAAGGCCACTGTGAATTTTACATTTACTAATTTCAGATCATCCAACAATTTTCAAAACAGGAATACATCTTGGAGCCAACAGGCTTTTGTTATTCATTCACTATGAAGAAAAAATTATTTTCCCCCCTGTTTTTGTACTAACAGTATATTTGTAGAGTCAAAAGAAATAGATAGTAATATTTAGCTCTTTGGGTAAAGATAGTACAAGTCCTGGAATACACTCAGTAGGAAGTTTGATTTAGTTTAGTTCAGATTGTAAATATATAAAACATGTTGTTGTGTTAACCAGTTTAATATTGGGGTCGGGGGAGAGTACTCAAATATCTAGCTGATTGCCTTCTATAGATTTGGTAGCAGTGGTCACAGACCCATTTCAAAAGTGTGGTAGTCTATTAAATGCTAGCTTTAGAACTTCAGCCTATTCCCCACTCCTTATGTCTAACTTGATTTTTATGTTAGACAAAGGATTAGAAACTTGTAGGAAAAATGTGAGTGCCTCTGAATGTGTGGCCTTATCTCTAGCTGTGTTCCTTACAGATCAATAACCCATTCATTCCTTCAAGATAATCTTTTTTTAATATTTATTTTTTAGTTATAGGTGGACATAATATATTTATTTTTTTATTTTATGTGGTGCTGATGATCGAACCCAGTGCTTCATGCATCCTAGGCAAGCTCTCTACCTCTGAGCCACAACCCCAGCCCCCCAAAAATATTGTGTCAGCATATAGTTTTTTACACAATTGATATATGAGTACAATTGCCAATATATTCTACCCAGAGCCAAAGTGAAAATAAACTTACATTTTTAAATCCAGAAATAGAGTCAGTGATCCATGGATACTGGATATAAAAACTTGACTCAGTACTTATCAGAATTTTATAGAATACTGCTGAAATGATGGAGAATTGAGATTTTTGTCCTAGAAGAGTTAAAGAAAAGCAATTTATAAAGTAACTTTATATTCAGATCTTTAATATCAAATAATACCTAAAAAAGATAGTCTTAAATTACACAGGCAATTCATATTTACATAGGTACATATAATAGCATGTAACTAGTGTAAGTTTTAACTACCTGTGTTCTTAAATTTTAAAATTAAGCTCCAATTAAACCATGTGAAATTTACATCAACACTTCTAAACTTACAGGTGTATGAAAAGTAAAGGATTTTTAAAAGAAGTACTCATAACTTAGAAAGCAACAATCCATAGGAGTTTTTCTGAGTAAAGAGTAAGCTTCAGATTAAGTCTGATAGTTTTGCTTAAACCATGAAAATGCTTTGAGTTCCTAAAATATGTTAGGAATGAGGGAGAAGGCTGGTGGCAGGGGATGGAAAGGTATGCTCCAAGAAGAGATTCGTGGATTGTAAAAAACATTTGTCTTTAAATAAAAGTCTCAGGCAAATTTCCTTTTGGGGAACAGCAAATTGAAGAATTGAAGTCACTGTTTTCTCTTGAATTTTTAAAAACTGTTGGCCCAATCAGTATCTTTTATTAGCTACATGTCCTAATCTCAGAACTATAACCTGTATCTTAAAAATAGTCTATTTTTCTGTTTTTTTTTTTTTTTTTTTTGTCAGTGAAGGTAATCCCTTGTTTACTTTCTATGCACCTGTGAGGTTAGCATTGTTGACATAAATTTATCGTGTTTTTTTTTTTAAAGTGATGGTAAGGAAGCACAGGTGTGTTATGTATTAAAACATCGATTAGAACAAGGTTTTCAAACACTAGTGTATATCAGAATCAACTGGAAAGCATGTTCAAACATACTTTATTGTTGGTGGTATGTCTTGGTGGTAGATTGCCTGCTTTACATGTGCAAGACACTGGATTCAACTCCCAGCACTGCAAAAAGCAAACTTTTTTTTTTTTCTATCACATAATTCTGTGCTAAATGAAAGTCATCACCTTTGCTGTTTTTTCAATATAACYCCTTCTTTGGGGTTGCTTTTGCCCTTTTTTCCGTGGTATACCTTATTTCCATCTCTCTTAGCAGCACCTGTGAATTCTAATGCTCATTGTTTTCATTTTTTTATTAGTTAGGTCTTAGTTAATGGCAGGAACAGAACCCAAAGCAGGCTAACACAACAATGAAGTCCAGGGAGGCAAATGACTCCAGGGACTTAGCTAGTAGGAGAAGGGACCCAGCACCACATCACTAGGGCTCTGTGTCTACTTTCCTTCTCTAATTTGCCCCTCAAGGCTTGACTTAATTCTCAAAATGAACTGTCACCACACGCTTGCTTAATGGTTTCTGAACCAAACTCAGTCCCAGGAGTTTAGCAACAACTGAAGTAAAAAGTTGATGTGCCTCAATAAGCTTTGGCAGGATAAGACTAGGGAAGGACCCCAGCGGATTCAGTTTAGGAATTATGATCCCTCTGATTCAGTCACGTAATTGATTAGGCATGAATCTTGTGCCCACTTGACAGAGTGGATTCTCTATAAAAATGAGGATTTGGGGGCTGGGATTGTGGCTCAGCAGTAGAGTGATTGCCTAACATATGCTAGGCCCTGGGTTCAATCCTCAGCACCACATAAAAATAATAAAGTATTGTGTCCACCTACAACTAAAAAATATATATTAAAAAATGAGGATTTAATTACTGAAAAGAAGGAAGAGACTGGGAAGATTAAACTTAATAGACACCTGTGACTTGTTACTCCTGGGATTGCTCTAAATAATCTGCTCCATGTTCAACTGAATATAGGAGAAACTTTCAGTTGTCTATCTCCTTGGAAATATAGTTACAGATTCTTGTCTGAATCCAGAATATTCATGATGTTCAAGCCCAAATATGGCTCTTCATAATCCTATGAATGGCTGAGTATTTTCACCTCAATACAACTTACAATGACATAATTATAAAATGTCTCTGGGTACCAGATATTTGGCATTTAATTTAGCTATGAGGTAGATTCTGTGAAACTAGATCATAGTGCAAAGCTCTAGTATCCAGATTCAGAGAGTGTAGCTAGGCCCTGTGCTCTTAACTACTCAGCTAGACTGCTCCCAGCTTACCTAGAATTATGAAGTACAACAAGTGAGAGTCATTATAAGAACACTCAGCAGGAAAGATGAGACCTGACCTTAACGTGAGTTCATGGTCAGTCACTGCCTATGCAGAGTTGGCTCTCTGGTCAGCCCTCATCATCGTCTTCTACAGCTGTGTGTTGTAGGAAGGATTCCGTCCCTGAGCTTCACTCTGGCTGTTACTATAGTCCAGAGGTCTCATGACTACTCAAGAAGTCCCAGAATCTTGTTCCCTCCAAGCTAGAGTTTTGTCTGCTAAACAAAGGCTCAACTAATCAGCTGTCAGCTTGCTTGGATGTTTTAGGACTAATATGCAACTCCACAATTTTGGAAGCCTGATCCTTGATCTACATTCTAACCTCGAAATTATTCTAACAGGACTTAACATGTTTATTACAGAATTATACACACTATATACAATTATAACACAAGATGGAAATTTTACATATCACATTAACAATATTTCATCCTCACAATAAAATATCTTTATGTGTCCCCCCATCAGTTAATCCAAAAATTATTTTAGGGCCATATACTATAAATATACTTTAAACATAACATTAGATTGTAAATCTAACCATAGAAGCTAAAAAACTCCTTATTTACTGAGAAAAGAT